AAATGTTTTTGTTTGTTTGGGGTTTTTACGCATGTCTGTCTGTGGTAAAGGAAGTTCTAATAAAGTGGATTTTCTACATGACTGCCGTCAATTTTTCCCCTATCGGAAAGCAGAGCTCTGAGAGGAAACAATGGGGAAGAGATTTACTCTGCTACCAACAAACAAAGCTGCAGTGATATCAATAGAATGGTGAATCTGACTCATAACCCAGTATATTTTTACCTCCCTTTCCATCTGGCAAGAGGAATTATGCCATTCTGTGAAGGGGAATTATACATAGGAGGACAGCTGGATATTTTTTAATCTTATTCTTATGTAAATCAGACTATCAATAAGTGCTTATTACTTATGCGCAGATCCTTACATTATTAAATAGCTTTTTTAAGCTTGCATACAGTGACAATTTTACTAAATAAACAGGGTATATCTTTATAAATAAAATAGTATTTCTTTCACCTCTTCAGAAGTAATAACAGTATGACTAAGAAATGAATAGTCTGAATATTTATTTGAATTAAAATGAGCCGAATATTACTTTTTCATTCCAGAATAGCCTGGATCTATACACTTTATACTCTTAAATTTATCCTTCTTACAACTACATAAAATGTACTACAAAATATGATATTAAAAATAAGGATATATTTTCTCCCCCCCAATATTTTATTTCCACCTAGCAGTTCTTCATTACAGAAGTATCAAAGCCCAGTTTTTTGCCCAGTTCTTACACCGTTTTCTTGTAGGTTTTTTTTACGCACCACAGAGGACGTCCTCATATTTTAATGTTCCCCAGTTAGGTAAAATATTTACTATTCTGATTTATGCCTAGGAACTTAGATACACTAAAATGATATCTAACCTGCCCATCACCCAAAGATACAATTTCACTACCAACAGGACAGGTCCGGTAGCCTAAAATCTGCCACAGAGGAAAGTACTTAACAAGGGAGATTGATTTCCTCCCCCCAAAACTACAGCAATGGCTGTAACGGGGAAGTACAGTGCAGTAAATGTTACAGTACATCCAGTAAAAACTGACAATTTGAAAAATTCACTATGAAACCCTATTTCCAGCAAACATTTGTAACCCTGTAACCTTTCCAGATGGTCCTAATATGTCCAGATTTACACAGATTTACAAGGGATGACAAAAGCCTCCTGGAAGAGCCCAAACACACTGAAACTTCTCAAAGGATGCTTTGACCACTCAGTTAATTCTGTATTTTTCATACTTTTCTTCCTTGCATCCAGCAAGAGTTCTCCCATTTAATATCAAAATTTGAACTTTGAAACACCCCCTTAGCATATTCCTTACATTTCCATATACCTATTCCTGAAAATTTATCTGTGTATATGATCCTGCATATGGATACACTGAAACCTACGGAAATTTTAAAATGTCTGTGGACAAAATTCTATGAGGGAATAAAATGAGCAGCTAGCAAATAAAATATTACGGAAAATTAAATAAAAATTACCTTAAAGTTAACAATTTTTACCCAAAAATATGTTTTAAGTCAGTATGATTTTCCTGTTACTATCAATAGCACATTTCATTATTAAAATTAAGGAAAAAAACTAAGTATTTTTATCTGTATCTGTTTTTATTGTTTTACAGCCTAGTTACTTTGAATAATGAAACCATTCTAATTAGTTCCTCCTGATTAGGAGAGTGTTACACGTTTTTACGAACTGAAACTACCTACTTAAAGTACACAAAAATATTTATTTTTTGAAAAAATGTTATCACGTGTCATTAAAGAAGCATTGTAAAATAGAATGTGAATGTATGCATTTTTGCAAATGTATGTATTTTTATTTAAAATGCCACTGTGCTTCGTACTACCCAACAGCACAATTCAGAAACTAACATAACTGAGAGATAAGAATACTAAAAAAACTTATAAATAAATAAAAAAATAAGAAAAGTATAAGGAAGATCCTCCATAAAAACACAAATCACTAGCTGTTCTTAAGATAGGAAGGAGGGGGTGGGAAGTGTTGTAAAGTTTCCTTGATTTCCTAAAAACGCTGCCCCCAAGGCATGGCATGTACTGCACATGACGAGCAGATATAAAAGGATCAGAGGGAAGGAGGAAGAGATTGAAGGAGGGAGAGAGGCAGATAATACACAACCCTGCAGCTATGACTTTCTAATCAGTAGGATTCTTGATGGGAATATAAATCTAACTTTCACACCAAAGAGCTAGAGTTTGGAATTTCCATAGAAATCTTTATTTTAGAAATCGCAGGGTTATAGGTTTGCTGCTGAGACTGCACAACAGCCTACCTAACGAGTGCCAAAAAAAATTTCTGTCCAGAGCTATGAAGAACAGTAGTCACACTTTGAATCAAGTTCCAGATGATTTATACAGAATACAATAAAGTAATAAATGTAAGTAAAGCATTTAGCTGATTTAAAATAATCCTTATCTTCTAGATAATGACTGCATATGTATTTTGACAATATAATACGATCCTTTCAAAACAGGTTTTGAGACTATGGATAATTTCTACAGAGAAAATAGTTTTCTATTTTTTAAAACATAATAGATATCTGAGTGCACATTCTTCATATGTAGTTTACAAATTATTAGATGACAGTATGGGACTGGATTCAATGACTTGGAATGACTTATTTTTATGTTCTTCATCTCCTGATGTTCTAAGGGAAGTAATTAAAAAACATTTGACTGAAACTTCTATACATGAATGGATCACTCTTCCAACCAAGCATCAGAGTAAAATGACAAATTCTAAGTGTATAATCTGATGACATGTACTAAAACTCTAAATGTGTGGCTATCTGCTTTCCTCAGGATATCCAGTGATCTTAATGAGTCTCAAGTACTGAAATTTTATACTAGATAGTCTCCTAATACGTTCAAAGTGTGCCTAACTGGAACGGGTCTCTTTCTGCATATGCTGTCATAAACTAGACAGTCTACGTAGCTTTTTTTTTTTTTTAAAGAACATAGTTAGGAAAGGACTTAAGAGCAGGAATTCAATTTTTATGCTAACATGTACGTCTATGAACCCAGCCGATGTGAAGCTCACAATCTGAAATGTGATCACAACGTGAAAATGGCCAAAATAATTTGAAAATGGCTACTCTGCAGAGTTTATTTCATCCAAAGGAAATAATTTGGAATACCAAATGCTTTAACAGCACTGCTTGCCCTGAATAAGTCTTTGGTATATGTAAGAATCTAAGAAGGGAAATGTATTACATGTGACAACAGCAGGGATTTTCAGTCCGAAATTGCAATTTTAAGTTTATCCTGGAAAAGTCAAAATTCAAATCTCCATTTCATCTTTTTTGTGGAATTGCTGTAACTCTTGAAAACAACAGGAAAACCCACCATCAAAAAAACCCACCTTTTCTTTTCTAGTTCAGCAAATGAGATAACCTTTTATGACAGACAGAAACTCAGGACAGCAGACTGATACAGCTCAGCAGCACAACCAGACATCTGAGACAAAAGTTCCAAATCAGGAGAAAATGATGATGACACAGACGCAAGACAAAGGGAAAGCAATAGCAAAATGGGCATATGAAATACAGACCAGGGAAAAGGTCTAGAAAGAGTGCCTTAGGCTGAATGGTAGTTGGTAGAGTTATGAGCAAAGAAACTCTTTCTTGTAGTTCAAGTGTTAGGATGCACAGAGTAGATTTTTTTTATTTTTTCCCCATTCTTTGTAAACAGGTAGATGGCATCAACATATGCCCATGCCACACACTGATAATCAAACCACTCTAACATCTATAACTGATTAAGTGTTTGGACACAAAAACAGGAAAAAATAACTTCTCAGTGAAGACTTAATTCAGAGTTTAAAGATATTACCACTCTTCAGCTTTTCTGATTATAAAAATTCATCATTTAGTCCTAACCTTGGTTTTCCATCTCACCCTGAGAGCCTACAACTGGCTAGAAAAGAAGTCCCAGAGGTACCACGGAAACAGTATACTTGCCAGCACAGCTCTTTCTCATGAATATACACATCGCCTCTGCAAAAGGTATTGTTGTTTCTTGACTATTTATGAAGCAAATTGTTAAGGGTAGGATTCAAGCCAGTTCATTAAATGTATCAAAGATGAATCCACAAATCTGTGAAAGAACATGCCTTGTGGCAGGCAGAGCATAACCTCCCGGCACCTCTCCCTGCTGGAGAGGAATAAGCTGTATTTATGCCTTTTCCCCAGTTCCAATCAATACTGCTAGGACAATTTTGGGGCCAGATACTATTTAAAATAATTGTGAAAGCAATGAGGTTCCTATTGGACAAGGCAGTGTACCGGATGGAATGAACTGAAAGAAACATCTTTAAATATAAGGCTATCCATAGGTAACTTTATTGTGTTAGTTCTCCTACTTGACAAGTTACCCCGGTAGTTCCTTGTTCTTAGTCCTCCCATTTGTTATGCTCTGTCTTAAGTTGCAAACTCTTCCTCTGAACAAACACACTAAGCTCTTCCAGTACAAACCAAGATACATTAATTATACTTTCCATGACAGATCTACATTGTTCTATATTTAGATATATTTACAATGTTCTATATTTAATGATATGGGAAAATGTCTAAAACACTGTACACCTTCCAAAAACTCTAAAAGCTTATCGCTGTAGATTCTGATCAAGATACGTGACAAATGTACTGAATGCAATTACCAATATTGCAGTTATTTTTTACTTAGGATAATTTTTTAAAAATCCTAAAAAAAGGAAGACAACTACAGGTAATTCTCATTTTTTAGGATTTTTTTTAAATTTGCAGTGTCTGCAAAATATTGCTAATATTTGTGATTTAATTCTTCAACAAAAGAGTAAATAATATTGAAATTTCCTAAGAAATGTAGGGAACACTACATTCATCACTAAAGCATTGTCAAATCGATCACAAAATCCAAAACCAAAAGCAAAATGAAAAAAGGAAAGAAGTTATTATAGGCTAGGCATGAATCAAAATAATTTGGGCTACATTTAATTGTACTCACAGTTGACATTGGTCTCCTTTGATTCCCTTAGTTGTGCAGAAACATTTTCCTGTTTGCATGTGACAAATATTTGCATGTCCACTGCATGTGCAAGCTACAAAATCAAAAAATAAAAGTGAGATTTATTCACCCATATATTATCTTATAACTAAAGGAATGTTCATGGATTTTAATAGTTCATCCTAAACACATTTCCTATAAGCTGTATTAAAAAACCATATTACTACTTCAATTATAAGTTTCTTTGAAGAATAATTCACTAGCACATGATTTAGTTTATTTTCTGTAGAGTTAAGAACTATGCATATGTTATTAGTGGCTCTCCTCCACATCTTAAATAATAGCAGTTTGAGAATAGCCACTGAAGTCTACCATTTCAATGTGCAATACAGAAAATTATTAACAATACATCTTTTCTATACCAGGTGAAACCCTGACCAATGGCAAAAGCAATGGCAAAATTCCATTAGTTTCAAATGTCTAATTAAAAAAGTATTATTGCAGATGTTTGGTAAAATGTCTAATATAATTGGAACTCTTAATTTTGACAAAAGCGAACAAAAAGCAAGCTTTGAAACCATTTGAACAAAGGCAGAATTAATACTACAATTATGGTCCACCACAAGAATATTCTAGAAGGAAAAAACGGGAACCTTTAAAAGCTCCTGAAATTTGAACTGTAGATCTTGAACTGGAGGAGAATCACAGAAACATCATCATCACTCCACTCCTTTTTAAACTCAGTGGCTACAGTAAACCTCTCCACAGTGGTCTGCTTACGGCCACTCTTGCTGCCTGATTGATTCTCACCTCAAAACAAGTTTTCATGTTCCAAATTCTTGAGCTTTCTTTTTGCTTTTCCTTCCCATGTTTATACACATGACTATTTTGTTTAGGCAGTCCTCATTCTTTTCTAACCAAGCGTACAGAACTCGATAACCTCCCTCTGGTAAATGTGTCAATAAGTTCCCACATCATACTGAAGTAATTACCTCCTAATATTTACACGACATTTAAATTCTTTCTTTAATTCAAAGTAACTCTGAACCTACCTTGATGATCATATTATGCTTTCACTAAAGTTTTAGTTATGACTAAGATAAAAGATTTAGGTATGTGGGCTTCTGCTTGGGAGCAGATGTGATACTAAGTGGTGACCTGTACATAAAAAAAGTTTATTTTCCACTTTATAATCCTAACATTGAATTTCTATCAGAGAGATTGAGTCTTAATGTTCTTATTCTACTCATAAGGAATAACACACAATGAATAATTCTGTGACAGTGTCCCACACCACACACACTCTAACCTCTCTGCCCCAGCCTAAGACAAACAAGGAAAAAGGTAATATAACAGCCAGACTAGAAGCACAATTAAACAGAAGATATTATTGACAGAATAGTTCAGTGTCAGGAATTCTATCGTTTGTTCAGCCTTCAGAACTCATTAAATAGCCAGTTGAAGCTGAAGGAGCGATTCTTACGCCAGAGGTAGTAGAGATTCAGTCTGCAAGAAACACATACCAGAAATTTCTATGCAGCACATCCTGATGCCTGATGTTTTCCCATCTTTCGTAATACAGCTTGTAACAAGATTTCTGAAAAAGATCTACAGTTATCGCAGAGTGCTGAATTTTGTAATTTTGCTATGATCTCGACACTCTACAATAAATGGTCGTTGAAGTGCTGCTATTGTATCATCAGTCACGTTTTCCTAAATCCATTCATGTTTTCCCCTCTAGATTTATGGAATGATTATTTAGGCACTTTAAACTGAAAACGCCTCTTCTCAAAAGTTAATTTTAATTGTGTAAATCTTTGCTATACTTGCAGTGAAAAATAAAGGAACATATTCTTAACAGCTTGTTGTGCTGTTAAGCGCATAGGTTAATTGCTCTTAACAGTGACAACCAAACGTTATAATGGAGCTAGAAGGCTGAATTCCAAATCGTATTCCAAAAGCTGTCAATATATTGACAAGTACAGAAACTATTCCCAACAAACCTTAATTTATTACTCTAATTTATTACTAATTACCATAGTCATTGCTTGCTTATTAGAAAGTAGATCACAAATGTGACAGTGGAACCTTCTTTACTTGAGTAGCTTTTATTTAGCAAAAGTATTTAAACACTAGGTCATAAAAACTTTTGGACACTATGCACCTTCATCACCTTCTTGAAAAAAAAAAGGGGGTAAAATGGATTATATAGTAAAAGCAACAGATGTATGAGACTTTGAGGAAGGCAAAAGCATTTCCTTTGGCAGCTCAAACATGACTTGTACACCCAGTCCATGGAATTACTGATAAATCAAACTTTTCAGTACCATTTACCCCCAGGGACATCTACATCAAATCAGTACCTATATAGTGCACTTCACTGTAGTCTGTGCTTGCTCACTCAGGAATCCACAGATTAACTCCTCTCCAATCAGCCAGGTATCTCCTTCCATTTAAACTGCATTATATTTTAGTCACTGCACCCTGTCTCTGCCTCTAGAGTTTTCTGGATCTATACTGAATAACATAAAAATCTGTCAGAATTTATTTTCCCATGGACTCACCTAAATTTTGATCTGTGTGTATTCATAGCACACACAAATGCATTAATAGTTTGGTCTCTCTTACCAAAAACACCAACATGGCTGCTCTACCTCACCTGACACATACATGAAGCTTCTATAGAGCTAAAATCAGTATGGTTGGAAAAGGAGAAGAAAGGAGGAGTTGAGAAGACTCAGAACCTTGTATTCTGGGTTCCTAGTCAATGAAAAAGCTAGTGCTGAGAAGCCCAGCAGCTAATCGTCTTCTGTTACAAGATGAAGATCAATTACTCCCGTTGATCAAGTTCCTAGTAATTTAACTGTTCCCTGGATAATACCTTGAAAAAGGACATCAGGAGCTAATCACTTCTACATTACTTTAAAAATCTCATCTGAACAAACTTTATTTAACAGCAGTAACTGCATATTTTAATTAATTTCAGACTTGCAAGTCTGTGATGAAAAATGGATTCCTACCAATCAGTGGACCTCAATGCGGGGAGTAAGTCCCACAAAAACCAAAACACATATAAGGCATCCCTGTTTTTACTGAAGAAAATGTGAGTATATATTATCAAACAAATGCAACAGCAGAAGTAGGATGATATTATAGTACACTGAGTGGAAAAATTTTTAGATGCCATTATCTTTGTGCCTCACTACGGTTTCTTCCACTGGCCTATTTCCAAGTAATACAAAAGAAATAATGAGCTTTGAATACGAACTACATTTACTAATTAATAAATTGTAACCTAAAGTTACATTTGATTTCAAAGTAACACAAGATGTACATTCTTCCCTTACCTCTTCCTATATTTTCTTTAATATTTTCTACTTTGTTTTCTCTGTTTAACCAATCTCAGTGAGTGGTTTCTCTTCTGATGGTAGCATAAGTCAACAGGTAAAACTGCAGCTACAGCAGTCTCTCTCACAGTCTAATGCTAGGTAGAAGTATGCCAAATCTTTTAATCACTTTTAAAAGCATATATTGTATCAACCATTCTCAGTTGGTAGAAGTCAGCACGAGAGATGCAATTTATATATATTTTCCTTTTCTTTTCTTTCTTTTTTTTTTTTTTTTTTTTTTTTTGAGGTCACAACCCTCTCCACCCCCATGCATTTGTTTTCAAGGAAGGAGGCTTAAGTTCCAGCAGCTGCAGCTAAAACCTGTATTAAGTAACTTTTTTTCCCCCCTCTTCAAAAGAAGGACAATTATCATCTTTAATGTTGATCTAGGGAAATGCTTAATATGATTTTTCTGTGTAAAAACTACCTAAAGCTGAAGGAAAAGGAAATAAGACTTGAGAGTTAAAATGAAAACTATACTTCACATTTCAAATACTTCTCTTTTTTCCCCTGTATATTTAATAAAAGGTTTAAGAGGGTGGTAAGCAGAGATTTCTGACTGAAAATCCCAGACTGAGACTACTTAATCCTAGGTGGTGGGAGGATACCTTTTGCCAGGTACCGCCACAAGAACAGTAGCACCGGACTGTTAGAGAAGAGACATGACTGTCCACAGGGTGCATCAGATTCAGACTCTACTGCTGTACGAGCCATTCCAGCACTCATAGCAGCATCACAAACACTTTCAGGAGGTTATGATGGCACTAATCCTCTCTCAGATCTTCTCTGACAGTCATCAATGCAGAAGATAGCTTGAAACACTGCTTTAACTTTACAGCAAGTTTAATATATTATAACATTCTAAAAGTCGTATTAACTTCTGCTCACATTCTCCGTTTCCTCCTAATTTAAGTACTCACATTCAGTATTCAAAATTCAGAAATTAATCTCTGCAAACCAACTGGTTAAAATGAAATATGCAGAATTTTCTTCTCTTAAAAAAAAAAAAAGTAAAAATCTGCATCCTGAAACACTACTGATTTAAATTATAACAGTAAATTAATTCCAGGTGATGTGTTTCCAATGAGGTAATCAGACCTCTAGGATAGAACAGGGACTGATAGTTTATCATGGCTCATTTCCCTTCCTGGGAAATAAGTACATCTGTCCTTCTCTATTTCATAATTCATACACTGCTAACAGTTTTTAATTATAAGGACATGCCTAAGACGCAAAATAAATACCAGCTTCTGCTGGATTTTAGAACCTTCTATAAGGCAAGAATTATCACTAGCTTTACACCTTCCAAAATAAATTGTGGTATGTGAAACACAGAAAAACTTGTTACCAATGCTCGTATTTCACTTAAAGATTGAAGAAAAGATGGGAATTAGAATTGTCACAATTTTGTGTGTGAAAAACTCAGGCACAGGGTATAGACATAAAGATATATTTTAATTCAAAATATATTGTTCAACTCTGATGGAGATTTTATTTCATGTTGCAAATTCCTGCCCAAACATGTGTACATTCTTTAAATCAACTTCCAAAATTTATATAAATTATATCTATATTTTTAAAAATCAGCTACAAAAATTTTTCTTACAAGTAAGACCAGAAATTTTAGATGCAGTATTTTGGAACCATTCATTCACCGCCATCATGTCTGAGACACATGAGTTAAGTACACAAAATTATGTAAACT